TCTTCTTAGGTACAGTACGGCATCTAAGGTGCTAATCGTTAAAAGTTCTAACCACTAAGTGTTCTACTCGTCCGGTATGGAAACGAAGGGAGGGGACGGGGAAAAAAGAAAAGAAGAAGAACGAAGGAACGTGGAACAAAGGAAAAGGTTAACGTGAAGGGGGGAAAGAAAGGGTCTGTCTGGTGGTTCGCTAATCCGCGATTTTCTGTGCGCAACGACGGTAAGTAACTTGTCGGGAAGGCATACACACTCGCCGAGAAGCCTAACGAAAGTCGATCGGTCCTTCTCTTCCGAGAACCCTGAAAAGGAGAGCGTCTTTCACTCGATTAAATGGACGCCTCTGAGAGGGGCCTTTGATCCGCCGCGTTTTTCTCCACGCTTAGATATTTTCTTCTCGACGAAAAAGCACGTCGACAGGCCTCTTTCTTTTTTCACTCACTCTCTCCCTTCTTGCCAACCCCGTTTCCAAAAGGGCGTGTTCTATCTTTTCAGAACATTCTTGTTTCGACACAGAGTTCGGATAGTAAATTCTGCCGACAGACATAAAAGGAGGTAAAAAAATGCTGCTAAAATTTGGAGAACGATTTAAGGGGGGGTATCCAAATTCGCGGTTGGAGACACTTTCTCTCCGGATCACAGACCCACCCTCGTCCGCGTCATAAAAACGAACACAAAGGAAAAGTGTAACGGCGTAAAAACTACGTTTACCGCGAGTGGAAAAGTGGTAAAATAGCGATTGGCTTCTTCTGTTTTTTTTTTTATGTTTCACTAACTCTCTCTCTCACTCCCTCTCTCCCCCCCTCTCTCTCTCCCTCTCTCTCTATTCACCCTCGACACTCGTCTTTTTTTCTCGATTTTTTTACTCTTTTTTTCTCACTCTCGCTTTGTTCTCGTCTTGTAAATATGTTGCGTACTCTTCTATCGGTGCCTCGATCACTTGTCCTCTCCCCCTATTATTTTTCTACATCCTTTCCTCTCGTCACTCGGTTTCGGGTTAATTATTACAAAGATGCTTGTACAATAATATAATATAGACTCTGTATTAGTTACAATAATATCGTAGCGTCCTACCTCGCGATCGATCGGTCAGTATCCACTCGCGTCTCCCCGTTTTCCCTCTTTGACTACCCCACCCACCCTTGGTTCGCTGTCGCGAAAATCCGATTGGACAAACCAATATAATAGAACATCTCTCTCTCTCTCTCTCTCTTCGTACAGCGATGCGATCTTTCCCCCGCGGTACGGTATTTCTCGTGAAAACGCAACATCTCTCGTGTACACACGGTTGAGCCGTTGCGTGAAGTTTGTTGCTTATTGCTTACGTTAACGTTGCGCGTCTTCTGCATCGCCGTGGAAAAATTCCTCTCGGACTTGTCTAAATAAACTGAACGTTCTTCGGAAAACTGCCGGCATACCGTGGGTGAACAAGCATTACGTGTATACATATCTGCCATATCGATGTGTGCCCGCGTGATCGAGAAAGAAGAACTCGAGATGTACATATATATATACATCCCTCCGATTCCTCCGACATTTGTCACGGTGAATTTCATTTTGATTCGCGACGCATACGTGACGCCACGGGTTTCCAGCTGTTTAATAAAATATTCGACCGAGTCTCTCTTCTCCTCCGTTTGGCCTGATGGAGGAGGGTCGGAACAAGTGGCCAATTTGTCTCGCGTTATTCGATCCATGGGTTTCGCAATTGATGAACCAACGCTTTGAATAATTGCTCCGGAAGGAATTTTTCTCCCCCCCTCGTCGGTTTATCTGCACACGGCGAGAAGAAGAAACGGATACGACGAAGAATTCGTGGCGCGAGGAAGAATCAGGGTTTTAGTCGTCTGGTGTGATAGAGATAAAGGGAACGAGGGGATCGAACGTACGAAAGAGGAATTATTTTCAGGTGCAACTTCGGTTCAAGGAGGCCTGCAGGATCCATCACAGTTATAATTTTACACTTTACACGCTCGGCCGCCTCCTGTGTACCGATATTTTTCTATTCTTTTTCCCCTCTCGAACGATTCTTCGTAATATCGCCTTTCCTTTTTTTGTATAATTCACCGTGGGTTAAAGCTTCTTTTGCCGCCGGTGAAAATCAATCCAAGTTTTGATTCTGCGCGGTTCTATGAAATCGATGAAACGCCCGCTACCCCCCTCGAAACGTTAAAACGCGGCCTATTCGAGGGAACAGCGATATCCGGCAAGTTTCAATGAAATAAATTTAACGGGCGCTTTTGGAATTGCCTATTATTGTTCATTGTACCGGTGGAAGTTAATTGAATCGCTGAAATAGTGGTGCCCTCGAAATATCAGAAATATTTGTATTAAATTTATCATCGGCCATGCGACATTTCTGTCCAGCCGTGCAGAATCCCGGAACGATACCGAATAGTTCAGTGTTAATGCGCGATCTACGCGAGGAATTATTAACGACCCCCCCGTATATAAACTATTTCCCTGTACGATAAGCAATTTTACTTCCTTTTTCGTTTTTCAGTATTTCTCTTTTTGTACAAATATTCGTAGAACGAAACATCGGAATCGACGAACTCTGATTCTATCCTCGTCTATTCTCGTTCCTCTCCATTCTTGGCTCTTTGACGCACCGAATAATCCTACTACACGATAGATTGTATTGCGTTGAGTTTATCTCATTTTAACACTGTGACACTCTTTTCTCTGTACACAATATCGGTGCCGACAAAAATTTCGTTCTTCGCATCATTCTCTCTCTCTCTTTCTCTCCTTTTTTCTTACGGAAACGAACGTCTTACTCGGCAAGAATTTTCACTCATGTCTGTATACGCGTGTCTGTCTGTGTGTGTGTGTGTAGTTTTTAGTAAACTTGAAGCATCGATCGCATTTTACCGTCCGGTCCTCTGGAAACGAACGTCTTACTCGGCAAGAATTTTCACTCATGTCTGTATACGCGTGTCTGTCTGTGTGTGTGTGTGTGTAGTTTTTAGTAAACTTGAAGCATCGATCGCATTTTACCGTCCGGTCCTCGAAACATCGTGGACGCGCGACGCGACTTTTTTCCCTTTAATCGTACGATAGAAAAATAACGCGGCGTATACTCGGAAGCTTTTGAAATATGACTTTTTTTTTTTTCTCCCTACCTCCGGTCGGTCGATTATTAATACAGCCAGTAGCTATTACAGCTATTATATTATAGCTACGGCATACATTCAACTATAACACGGTTAATAGCCCTTTGTAGCTATTACATGACAGCTACAGTGCAATCAGCCTTTAATACGTTTGCTAATATTTCGTACGGTAATTGAATTCCGCTGTGGGCTTTCTCCATTGGCCGAAAACCTGTTGGCGGGATAGTTTTCGAGGTATCGTCCTTTGTCCACGCTGCATCACCATTTTTCTCTTTATATTTCCTGTTTTCCATCATATCGTAGAATGAAGTGCCGTAACAGCGAATCTATTTGACTCTACAACTTAGAATTTCGACATTTTCTTTGTTTTTACAATATTCAGCAACGGAAGTCCCCGATGTTTCAAGAAACAAGCGCACCTCTCTCTCCCTCGTTCCCATTCACACTCTCTCACTCTCTCTCCGAACTAGCAGTATAATTATAAGTTACAAAATACACGGTACATCCATTTACGGTGCGCTCGATACGCTCTCGTGGAAATAAAGTAGCATCCGGTGTGAAAAAATATTTGCCGAGTAAGCTGTTCCTCTCGTGCCTTATTAAAGCTATTCTCTATGTAGTTTCTACCTTAAAAAGATACCCGACCCTCGGCCGGTCGACCGTCTTACTAACTAAAAACGAGACGTTCCTTCCCCGCTCCCTTCCGTTCTCTCTCTGTACGTTGTTTCCGTGCCCTCAAGCAATCGATCCCCATTTTCTCACCGCCGTACTCGTCACACGCCAGCCGCAAAATGAATCCGATCGATCGTGCGCCGTGATCTCGCTCTCGTGATATGGTCTAACCATAAAAACTTGTGTGTGTGTGTGTCTGTCTCTGTGTGTGTAATTACTTCGTCAGCTTTACCCGATTTTTAATTAGCTAGTGCCTACGAGCTACATCGGTAAAAAAACCTACTGGCCAGGGGAAATTCGCGCTCGATCATTCCACAACCCCCTGGTAAAGGAACAAACAGAGTTCCCTTTTTCCTCGTTTCGTGGAGCAAGGGAAGAAAGAAAGAAAGAAAGAGAAGAAAAGAAAAGAGAAAATTCCCTTCGAGGAGTAATACCCTTCGTTTCCCTCCTTCCTCCCTCCCGCCCTCCCGCCCCACTACCACCCACTGCCTGGAGAAACCTTGATCGGATCCGTCTCCTTCTCGAACGATCTTCCACCAACCCTCTATTCTACGTCTCTTCTGGCCCGCTTGATTTTCCTGCTGGTTGGGAGAATGGAGCACCTCTTATACGGAAGAAATCAGAGTTTTGCCTCTTGTCTCTTTATTATAGGCGACTTTATTTTTCGTTTCTCGGGAATCGAATCAGGGAGCGTTCCTCTTGGCTGGAACGAGCTTCGACCTCGAGGAGTTCGTCGTTCTTCCTACTCGAGAGTCGATTTTACGCTCTTCTCGTTTACTTATCAGGTTCCCTTTATTCTTCCCCCACCACCTCCTCTCCTTGTTCGTTTTCTTTTTCCTTTTTTTCGCTCTCCTTTGTCTCGTTCCGCGACGAAATTCCGGTGGTCGTGCGAGCTCGAATTCCTCCCGGCAGATCTTAGAGGAGAGGCTAGCAGCAAGAGCTCTACGGACACGAGCGTTCGAAGCCAAAGAATCGATCGTTCCTTCTTCCTCTGTCTGTGTCTTCTTCATCCCCATTTTTCCAGTTGGCCCGGACGCTCCGCTGATCTTCTCTTCGAATCTTGATTCGCCACGAAGGCGATTATGTATATATATATTTTGTTTTTGTTTTATACACGTGTACCACCTCGTTTCGTCACCAACACGGGTGTCCAAATAACGCAGATTACAAACGTCGAGTTGAATGGTCGCGAGATCCTCGTCCGTTCGATTAGAATCACCTGTATATCGCGACGATCGCCGTGAGTACGACGATCATCGGGTACGTCGATCGAACAACGTAGCCCCTGTTCTCTTCCATGCATTGACCTGCGAACAGAAAAATCGTGATCGTTCTTTTAGGCGAACCGTTGGAAAAGCATCGGACAGAGAGATATCGTCGAACGGTAAATTGTTTGCGCTTCTCTACAATAAGTGGAATCCTGTAGTTGTCGGCGCCATATAATTCGACATTTATCAACGAATTGTCACAGTACATTTGTCAGGTGAAGTCGTCTATGTGTCGCGGCAAATTATGCGTGGCTGTCGCGCGCCTCTCGCGACCAGAATTCAACTGACGCACTGGATGACAATCGCTGACGTCGCAATTTTCATTGGACACTGCAGTCTGTCGCCCTGTCAAAACCGCATTCATCGTTGCGAAAGGAATTTCCAGTCCCTCTTTTTCCTACCAGACAGCCGTGATAAGCCTCGAACCTTCGAGCTGGCTAAATCTTCCGAGTTTCGCCAAAGTTTTTCCAAATATTTCGCGAGCAAACGAGGCCGATAACATCGAGGGTACCGGAGATCGACATATTAATAAGCAAATTATAAAAAAAAGAAGACAAACTGTCGGAATGTTGAAAACACTTCTGTTTTCAGTAATCGAAAGAAACACGTCTCACGAGGCTAATGGACAAGTTGCAGTAGAAGGAAAAAAGAAAGCAGAAGAGACGGTTTGATAACGTGAAAGCGGCCTAATTCCTTTGACAATGCTCTTGCTCGAAATCTCGAGACAAGGTGGAACGGTGGTGGTAGAGTTGCGGAACAAAACCGTTAGGTTGGTCGCAGACGCGTCCTCGGCACGGCAGCGAAGATCTTAAGGATCCTCGAGAGTGAAGTGGGTTGGAGGTGGAGGAAGGTGGAGATACTCACCGGTACTGGTAGCATTGAAGGCCAACATTGGTGGGGGCGGTGGTATCCTCCTCTGGCAGGCCACCTCGCTGGCAGTCAAACTGACAACCCCGTCGCTCTCTTTGTACATGAAGCACAATCTACGGCTGTTCCTGTACGGCTGGGGCCTGTTGTTCTCGCTGGACCAGCTCGTGCCGGGCGCCAATTGGGTGGCGATCACGAATTGCGTGCCCTCCGCGTCGAACCACCTACCGTGGCAGGAGTAAGCTGCGAAAGAGAAAACGACATCGTCTCCTTTTACCCGAGGCACAGACTTGAACCAACTTTCCGGATAATGGTGGGGGAGGTATCTCGAGCCGCTCGTTACCCCCCGAGTGCCATTATCCTTTAAATAAACTTTGACAACCTTCACCGGCTGAATGCGCGCCGCCCCTCGTGAAATAAACCCCCCGTTCGTCTACATCCCTATCTCCCTCTCCCTGCCTCTGGTGACAGGATCTACGTATGTATAATATACCGCGAGCTCTCTATCCCGAACGTTGATGCAATTTTAATTATCGGGACGAGAGAACTCCAATCCGATAGCATTGATAATTTCCACTCTTGGAATATCGACGAACGGATTACAGTTTTCAAACGGAATTTAGATAACGCTTCCCTAGCCTTCTCCGTTTTTTATCGTCAACTCGAATCGAAAAGTTTCACTCACCAATCGCGTTGTCTTCCACGCAATCCGTCTGAAATTCCATTCGATCCGCCGTAGAGCAGCCGATGGTTATAGTGGTGACCTCTGAGCTGCACCTAGAGATGTCCTCCTCCCTCTTCTCCCGTCTCTCCGACCAACTGTCGCCGGAATCCACCTCCTCGACGTCTCTCCTCGTTCTCAGATACTTGGACGTCACCTCCCTCCGCTCCTCCCTGCCTGACCTCTTTTTCGGCAGGTCCGCGGTGTCCGGGTAATCGCCGAAATAATCTTCCTGGACCTCGAGGATACTCGAGCCGTCCGGGTCGTCGAAATCGATCGTCCAGAATTGCCTGATTCGCGCGAAATCGTCCGCGTCCACCCGGAAGTCCTCAATCTTCGGGCTTCTTCGCGATTTCTTCGCGACATTGGCCGAACGTTTCTCCAACTCGTGCGTTCTCCTCAGTTTATTAGACCTAGCCGAACCTTCCGTCGATCTCTGCTCCTCCGATCTTCTTGTTTTCGACCTGGAACGATCGCGGAGAAGATCCTCGATGTCCAGAGTTCGTTTAGAAGAGGCCTCCTCGAGGCTGTGATCGCGATGATTTCGGTTGTTGCGATTCGATCTGGCACGTCTGCCCATCCGCTCGTGAACGAGGTACTCGTTGTTCGCCCGGCGTTTCTCCACGTCGAAGTCGAGCTTCCGGCCGCGTCGATCCTCCTGGGTTCGTTCCTGGGCGTGTCGAACTTTTTCTCTGTCACGCCTGACGCCCTCCTGCTGGTGTTGGTTCCTCCGGCTTTCACGGATGTTCCGTTGGTTCCGGTTCACCCCGGTCACCGTAAATTTGCCCAAGTACGGGCACGTACGTAGCTCCGGGGAACTCGCTGAAATTTCCAGAAAATCGTTCGCTTGAGAAACGACCGGAGAAAAATTCTTTTTCGCCCAATCTTTTCCATTTAGAATACGTATATCG